GGAATGCACCTGCAATGTGAATTTCAGACCCCTCCATGATTTCTAAGTGGGAGAACTTGCAAAATCGCAGGGTGTTCAAATACATCTGTTCCTCACTCTAGTTAGTACACATTTGCAAATACATGTATAAGCTACAGAGCCTCCTCATGGCACCCCAGTATTTTGTAGTTCCTAACTCTTCAAATTTTAAGAGCCCCCATAGTAGAGGCACATGTATTTAATGGATAGACCAAGGCAGATGGACCTGAGGAAGCCCACCCCTCCTTAAAGGTACAGGCACTGGACACCCAGCATGTAGCACAATGGCAGCTAAGGTGTCCAGTGAGCCCCCTCACCAACAATTTTACAGTACAAAAAATGGCCACTGCCCCAGTCTATAACTGGCCTTCACAGCAAGGAGCACATGGACGGACAACGCATGTCAAACAACAAAAAAGAAACATTCCAAACTCAACTTGCCAACCAGCCTGCAAAACAAACAGAATTACCTGTCTAGCAGTATGCGTTAAAAACAGGGTTTTAGTTAACACACATTTGCAAATACATGCGTATTGTTGTTTGACATGTGTCGCTCATCTATGTGCTCCTTGCTTTGAAGGCCAGTTATAGACTGGGGCAGTGGCCATTTTTCGTACTGTTGAATTGTTGGTGAGGGGGCTCACTGGACACCTTAGCTGCCATTGTGCTACATGCTGGGTGTCCAGTGCGCTCCTGTACCTTTAAGGAGGGGTGGACTCCCTCAGGTCCATCTGCCCTTGGTCTGTCAATTAAATACATGTGCCTCTACTATGGGGGCTCTTAAAATGTGAAGAGTTAGGAACTACAGAATATCGGGGTGCCGTAACGAGGCTAACTAAACTCCTGTTTTTAACGCATACTGCTAGACAGGTAATTCGGTTTGTTTGCAGGCTGGCTGGCAAGTTAGAGCTGGGAATTTTTCTCTTTTGTTGTTTGACATGCATCGCCCGTCCATGTGCTCCTTGCTGTGAAGGCCAGTTATAGACTGGGGCAGTGGCCATATTTGTACTAGTACTGTCAAATGGCATAATGAATTGCTACTTTATTTATGTGAGCAGTGTTAAAAAGTGGTACCTGATGATCATGTCTCTTTATCAGATCTAAACACCCTGAGCTTGAGGTCATCCCTGGCATTCAAGAGCATAAAGTGAAGGTAGCTGTAAGTATCCAATTTTAATGGATTATATGAGCTTGGGTACACTAAGGAAGTGACAGGTTTTCTTTAGTAACACATTTCTAGCAGCAATGTTGTGCAGATCATAGGGACTATTCATATTTTTGTTTTTTTCCAATATGTTGTGGATAGACCAAAAACTGCTAATCAGCCAAGCAAAAGGAATGGAGCCATTTACCTTGACATTGACTTTAATGTTTTACAGGATTCACTAGACTGGATCTCTGTAACACTGGGAGAGCTGTTAACTAGCAGAAAAATACAACTTCTGCTGCTAGCCTGAAAGGACTTATATTTCTTTGAGGTCTGTTGATGCTAGGAACAGGTCAGATGGGGTAATGGTCAGTGTCTGCCAGGAACAGTTCCAAGGCTGCAAAAGGAGGTATAATACAACTAAACCATACTACTTTGTAATCAACATATACAATGTTGTCATCCTGACGTGTGTATTAGTGGAAATGAATATGGTATAGAATTCTCTTTATTATACCTGGTAGTACTAAAAGTACTTTCAGTTATTAAAATAACTAAAATGCACTTTTTCATATAGTAATAAACATATTGTGATATGATGGCTGTAGTACTTTTGCACTACTTGAAAACCAAATCCCATAATTTCCTTGTAATGTGGCAGTGCAATGGAGAGACTTTACTTATGCTGCAGATTACAGGTTACATCAAAGAAAAAAAATCAGCTTCCTCTAGTATGGAAACACTTATATGGATTGTAACTCACCAGGATGTCCAACTCTGTTGGTTACAGGACTATTGTCCGAAAGACGGATCTTTGCCATTGTAGCCAGCTCAGCAATGAAATCTTGTTCTGCTTCCTAAAAACACCAAGAATCAAACAAACAAAATAATATTAGTATTTACAGCTGAATGATATACTGTAAGTGATGAACATAGGTACACTTCCATTTGTAACCAGTTCCATCACAGGTATAGATGGAATGATGTTTGTTGCACACCTCCAGATGAAGCTGGCCATAGATGGTACTTTTTTTTTTGTACCATGTTGAACAAAAAAAGATTCCTCCATCCACACAAGCAAGGTAGATGGCGGAATCCCCCTGCCAGAACTATTCTGACAGTGGGACTCTTTGCTATCAGAATACAACTTATCAGTGTCTGTAGCTGCCGATCACCAAATGTTTACCAGCTTCTCAGTTCGACTTCTGTCAAACGCTGATGGGCACACATGCATCAAAATTCATTCAGCCCTTGCTAAACTGACTGAATTTCCATCTGTTTGTTGCCAGCTTTACAATACAAACTGAAGCAAGGCAAGAAGGTAGGATCGGCAAATATGCAAAAGTGCTGTAAATAGAAGTTTAAAGTGATCAAATCAAAGAGTAGAATTAAAGTGCGTGTCTTTTTTTTAAGCTTTGGATAGCATAGGGAAGGGGTACAACCCCAAATCTCCTTTAAAGAGATTTCTTTAACTTCCTGTCCTACTGACATTTTATCAGACCTGACCTGAGGGGGAACTCTTCATCAGCACCATAGACAGAAATAATATATAGTATGTGTATGTATAATTGTGAGTTAGGGACCTTAGATTGTACGCCCCTTGAGGGTTAGGGACTGATGTGAATGTACAATATATATGGCGCTATATAAGTACATGAAATAAATAATATTACGAGATAAGTGTTCCCCTTTTTTTCATTTGATGCCTGTGTGCTTTATAAGGTGCTCTGCAAATCCAATAAAACATGGAGACTTAAGAGACTCTACTATCTCTTTTTAATGCGAAAGCAGTTTTTTGATCGATTCAGAACAGACTACTGCGATTGTTGGTTCCCTATTTTAGCCTGAGCTTGATAAGTATTTATGGAATAGTCAGCAGAGGCAGTAAAATTCATCAATATACACCCACATTTGAAATATCACTTTTCAAGAATTTTGAACCCTGCTTTTCAAACCTGGCTTTTCATGTGCACAAAAATGTATAAAAAAAAAGAGGCTGATCTCTTATCTTTTTGTGAAAATGATCAGAAAATGGATTGCATCGTGCAGGATTAAAAAATTAAGGCAACCAAAGAGGCTGGAGATGATGAATGTAACATATCAGCATTCCTGGTTTATCACTATGTGCAGCATTCCCCGCATGGGATATTTGTTTGCTGTGTCTCTACACTGCAGTGAAGGATGAAGAGGATGGAAACTTTAAAGAAAATATCAACCAATCACTATCTTCATCTAAACTGCCCATATAACATAATCCCAATGCAATTTTATCACAGTGAAAAACACTTACTGCATTCCAACAGGAGTGTAAGGATATATAAAATAGAAGTTAACACTCTGTGTTTTCATTAAACTAGAGGGAACAGGTTAGAAAATAAAATAAAAAGATTTTTTTATTTTTAATTTACTATAAAGTAAATTCTCTGATTCCATTGAGACACACAGGGATTTTGACACAGTGAGGTTATGCTCTTAATTCCAGAGGATTAGACACTGGCAAGCAAAAAAACAAAAACAAAAAACCATACACCAGCCTCTGTATAGTCCATCCTCTCCCCAGCATGCCTCCATGTGGTACCAAAGGCAAGACCAAAAAGATAGAGGAGTGGGACTCACGTCCCTCCAACAGACTCCAAGGAAAAGATTTTTGTATTTCTCAATAAGGGACAGATGATCAGATTGAAATCAGAGACAAGTGCTGCCTTAATAAGGAATACAGATACAGTTGGAGCAGTCCAAATGAAGAGTAGCCAACAGCCACTAACAGACCAATGAATACTGTATATTGAACCCATCTGTAACTCAGACATATTGGAAGAACCAATGTTTTAATCTGAGCCAGACCAGGGGAAGCCCTATCAAAACAGCAGAACTGCTATAACTAAGGGGAGTAACTAAGGGGAGGCAACAGAGGAGCAATCTAATGCTCCAGCCCAGGAGAAAAATATCACTGCTGAAAAGGAGGTAATTCTATCTGCAAGAACACTGGGCCTGAGTCAGTGAGATGCTGTGAAAACTAACCAACAATCCACCAAAAGAAGTGGAACAAGCATTAACCTGAGGAGAAGGAACCTAGACCTACAATGAGATGTGGTCAACAGAATAAAACCTCTCACGTTAACAGGTTTCCCGAAGGAATCCAGGACCATCAAAGACGACCCAGAAAAGAAGACCAGTCAGTTAACCTTGGAAGGCCCAACACTAATTTTGGTTGCATAATCATTAATGTGGAGTGTGTGTTGTAAACGACTGTGCGCAACAGAGACATTGAACCTATACATGACAGCCAGACAGCCCTTTTTCTTTTTCATGAGCAATGATCTTCCTCCCCTCCTCCCTCCTGAAAACTGGAATTTGTAGCTGTAACTTTTAACAAACTTCAAAAGAATGTCTTATCTTAATTAAAACACAGACCTGTCCAGGGCTGTAAACAGCTAATTAGTCTTGGCAGTATGTCTGTTTCCACTAACCATGGAAAACACTTTCCTCTGCCCTATCGTAAAATAACTCAGTCAAATAGTCACACATGACCTGTAAGGCCACTAAGGCTCTATGAATGCAGAGCGTGCCAAAAAACGCCTATTCTACATGTAACAATTAAACATACAATTCATAGAATTACACAGGAACAGGGCACATTAATATTAGGTATATATTTGAATAGGGAATATCATAATGAACAAATCAAGGTCATATATGACTAGAGATGAGCGAATTATTCAAAAATTCGATTCGGCTGATTCGCCGAATTCGCGGAATAAATTTCGATTCGAGGCGAATATATTCGCTGCGAATTTAACGTGTAAAAAGGGTGTTTCTAGGCTTCAGAGAGCCTTTATATTAGTGCAGAACACTGTACCTTTAATTTAAATGCCCTTGGAGTCTGCTGGGGAAGAGAAATAATACTGTCAGTCAGTATGACATGCAGATGAGTGCCGTCGATCTTAGAATCACCGCACACTTCACTCATTTGGGCAGTCACGGGGCCAAAACCAGAGTGTGGAGCCACAGTGTGGCGGTGGAGGCAGCAGCAATGGGAGGCCATACAGCACCCTATGACAAAATGGAACCCACCAGCAGTGTGAGGAGACCTGAAAGTGGCACATGGCAGAGTGTGGCGATGGAGACAGCAGCAATGGGAGGCCGTACAGGGACCCATGACACACTCTGGACCTGGCAGCAGCATGAGGAGTGGTACAGGGGCCCATGACAGATTACGGGCCTGGCAGCAGCATGAGGAGTCGGTACGGGGGCCCATGGCAGATTACGGGCCTGGCAGCAGCAATGGGAGGCCATACAGCACCCTATGACAAAATGGAACCCACACCAGCAGTGTGAGGAGACTTGAAAGTGGCACATGGCAGAGTGTGGCGATGGAGACAGCAGCAATGGGAGCCCGTACAGGGACCCATGACACACTCTGGACCTGGCAGCAGCATGAGGAGGCGGTACAGGGGCCCATGACAGATTACGGGCCTGGCAGCAGCATGAGGAGTCGGTACGGGGGCCCATGGCAGATTACGGGCCTGGCAGCAGCAATGGGAGGCCATACAGCACCCTATGACAAAATGGAACCCACCAGCAGTGTGAGGAAACCTGAAAGTGGCACATGGCAGAGTGTGGCGATGGAGACAGCAGCAATGGGAGGCCGTACAGGGACCCATGACACACTCTGGACCTGGCAGCAGCATGAGGAGACGGTACAGGGGCCCATGACAGATTACGGGCCTGGCAGCAGCATGAGGAGTCGGTACGGGGGCCCATGGCAGATTACGGGCCTGGCAGCAGCATGAGGAGGCGGTACAGGGGCCCATGGCAGAGTGGCGGAGCGTAAGCAGCTAAAATTGAAGGCCATACAGAGGCCTATGTTAAAAAGTCCCCCCAGCAGCAGCGTGGGGAGACGACTATCAAGAGTCCAATGGCAGAGTGGCGGAGCAGAAGCAGCATCAATTGAAGGCCATACACAGGCCTAGGTTTAAAAGTCCCTCACAGTTAATTCCAATAACGAACTCTACTCCTCCGTGCAATCTACTTACGAGACCCTGGGCAGGTCTGGGTCCAATTTGTGGTAGAGACTGGTTTTGTTCAGCCATGCTTGAGCGAGTAATAACAGGTCTGTGCTGCCCTTTGGTGTCTGGCTTAATGCGCACAACACTGAACGTCCCAGCGTTTGTCAACGATTTGCCGTTAAGTGATGCAAACCCGCTGAACCACGTTCATGAGGAGCCGGTACAGGGGGCCATGAATCAGTATGGACCTGGCAGCAGCGTGAGCAGACGACAGAGGCACATGGCGCAGGGTGGCGGTGTAGGCAGCATTATTCTGAAGCCATACACAGGCCTAGGTTAAAAAGCGGAAGCCGTCAGCAGCGTGAGCAGACGACAGAGGCACATGGCGCAGGGTGGCGGTGGAGGCATCAGCAATGGAAGGCCATACAGCACCCTATCACAAAATGGAACCCACCAACAGTGTAAGGAGACCTGAAAGTGGCACATGGCAGAGTCTGGCGATGAAGTCAGCAGCAATGGGAGGCCGTACAGGGACCCATGACACACTCTGGACCTGGCAGCAGCAAGAGGAGGCGGTACAGGGGCCCATGGCAGAGTGGCGAAGCGTAAGCAGCTTAAATTGAAGGCCATACAGAGGCCTATGTTAAAAATAATAACATGTTTGGGGCATGATTCATGGCGGATTTAGTCAGTTGTGTCAGGAACTGGTGGTTTGAAATCCAGACTAATCCACGCCTGATTCATTTTCACAAACGTGAGTCTCTCCACACTTTGGGTGGACAGTCGTGTCCTCCGCCGCGGAGTTACAATACCTCCTGCCGCACTAAACACGCGCTCCGATGCCGCTACTGGCCGGGCATGACAGCCTTTCAAGGGCAAATTCAGCTAGTTGGGGCCAAAGGTCAAGTTTCGTTGCCCAGTAGTCAAGGGGATTGTCTACCTCGGTTGGCAGGGTGCTGTCCAAGTAGGCCCGAGCCTGTTGTTTGAGGTCCTGCTCCAGGTCCACCTGATGCTGCTGCTGCTGCGGCTGGTTAGTAGTTTCCTCACTGCGCTGGTGAAGAAAGCTACTCATCATCGACTGCAGACTGAGGCAGCCGCTGCTGGTGGAGCTGCCACTGCTCCTACCACCCCACCCCTCCCCTGCTGCCATGGCAGCGGAACGCGAGCGCACAGGGCCCACAGTGTCTGAGGATGGACGTTGGCGCAGAAAGGCAGAGACCAACTGACTACATAGGTGGTTTTTATAGTACTTTATTTTGGCCTCCCTCTCAGCAGGTGTGAAAAAGGCCACCATTTTTGAACGGTAGCGAGGGTCCAACAAGGTGGACAGCCAAAAGTCATCCCTCTGTCTGATGGTTATTATTCGGCTGTCGCTACGCAAGCAACCGAGCATGCTATGGGCCATTTGTGCCAAGGAATGCGAGGGACTCCCTGCCTCCATCTCCACAGCATACTGCCACGGTGCGTCTGGGTCCTCTGTCTCCTCCTCCTCCTCTACCAGATGCTCCTGCTCCTCCACTCCTGTCCGCTGAGTGGAAAAACCACCCATTTCACTCAATAATTCCTGAGCACCAATGTCCTCCTCTACCTCTCCTCTTCTTCCTGTCCTGCCCCCACAGGGGTCATGTGGCGTTGAGATCTGTGCGCCACGTCTACCGCACCCTGACCAGCCATTGTTAACAGCATTTGTTCCAGGACGTGCAACAGAGGAATGACGTCGTTCATCCCATAGTCCTGCCGACTCACGAATAGCGTGGCCTCCTCAAAGGGCCTGAGCAAGCGGCAGGTGTCACGCATGAGCTGCCAATGGCTGACATCTAAGTTACACAGGGGAGTACCTTTATCCGCTTGTAACATCAGGAAATCGGTGATGGCCTTTCGCTGTTCGTAAAGGCGGTCTAACATATGTAGGGTTGAATTCCACCTTGTTGCAACGTCGCAGATCAGGCGATGCTGTGGAATTCCGTTCTGCCGCTGCAGCTCAAGGAGGGTGTGCTTTGCGGTGTAGGAATGGCTGAAATGCATGCAAAGTTTACGTGACATTTTAAGGATGTCTTGCAGTGGGATGGTGGATTTTAGGAACCGCTTGACAACCAGATTGAACACGTGAGCCATGCATGGCGCATGGCACAACCTTCCTTGACGCAGAGCAGACACCATGTTCTTTCCGTTGTCGGTCAACATGGTTCCGATTTTCAGTTTGCGCGGAGACAGCCATCTGTCGATTTCTCTGTTCATTACACTCAGAAGTTCCTCCCCTGTGTGACTACGTTCGCCAAGGCATACCAGGTGCAGCACAGCGTGACACCGTTGCGCCCTGCACATGTGATATGCCGGTCGGGTAATGGGACTTGGCACGGGGGGGGCGGCTGAGGACACGGCGGAAGAAGAGGTGGTAGAGGCGGACATCTTTGCTGGACCAAGGACGTGCAAACGTGGAGGCAAAAGCGGCGTGACCTGTCCAAGTTGCTGGTGCGGCTGTGCCGGCACCACGTTCACACCCAGTGGGCCGTAAATGACATGTACTGTCCCTGACCGTAGTTACAGCTCCACACGTCGGCGCTGCCGTGCACTTTGGCAGAGACCGACATGCTCAAAGACTGGCCCACCATCTCTTCTACATGTGAATGCAGGGCTGGCACTGCCTTTTTGGCGAAGAAATGCCGGCTTGGCACTCTCCACCGCGGGCTCGGCACAAGCCATCATTTCTCGGAAAGGTGCTGAGTCCACCACTTGGAAAGGGAGGGACTGCAGCACCAGCAACTTGGACAGGAGGACGTTCAGCTTCTGCACCGTCGGGTGCGTGCTCGCAAACTGTTGTCTCTTGGAAACGGATTCCAAGAAAGACTGCTGACGGAATCCGTGAAGAGGAGTAGCAGGAGAAGGAGCATCTGAACGAGCGGAAGATGCCAACGAGCGACAACTCCCCTCAGCAGAGGTGTTGGAGCCTTGACTGGCTGATAGAGGGCGATTGACGTCGGGTGACGGAGCAAGTAACGGAGCGGGTGATGGAGCGGGGGCTGGGGCAGGCAGAACCGCCGTATCTTTATCACGGTTTTCCCAGGCCACCGAATGGCGACGCTGCATATGCTGACGCAACGCTGTAGTCCCAACATGGGCCCCCTGGCCACGCTTGACTTTCTGGCCACATAGTCGACATACGGCTACGTTTACTTCCTCGGGCGGCTTGACGAAAAATTGCCACACCGCCGAGTAGGAAACTTTGCCCCCGCTACTCCTCACTGGCTGACTGCTACTTCCTCCGTGCACACCGGCACCACTACTGGCCGTGGTGGTAGGCTGCAGTGGAGCTGGTGCTCTACTCCGTGGCCGTTTGCCTCCACTGACACTGCTGCGACCCTGCTGCCTCCTGGGCAACCCACCGACTGTTTTGCTCGCTGGCAAGCTGGCACCCTCTTCTCCTGATGATGCGGAAGCAATAGCCTGATGACGACGAGGCTGCCAAGTGCGATCAGCCTCATCATCATCAATTAGGGTCTCCGCGTCACTACTAGCCCCCTCGGCTGCGTGTGGGTCAGGAGACAGACCTGTCTCTAGACCGGCTACCGAGCCACTCTCCTCGCCAGTACTTCTTCGCCTGGCTGCTGAAGAGGCGGATGTCTCCCCCCGTTCCTGACCGCCCTCTGTTAGCTCTTCCTCACTGTACAGTGGGGCTGAGCCCACAGCATGCGATACTTCGCTTGGTGAGGGAACACCAAAGGACAGGGGCAGGTAGAGGACACGTGATTTCAGTGGGCTTGCTCCCGGGCCATGCCAACTAACGGTTGTGTCTGACGTACCCACCGACCGTTGGCTGTAGGTGTCAGAGGTGACCTGGGAAGAGGAAGACGACCGAGTCAACCAATCGATGACGGCAGGGTTGTCGGTGGAGACACGACCGCTGGATGACACCGGGAGCACTGGCCTCTGGCTGCGACTAGTGCTGCCTCGACCCCTTCCTCTGCTGCCACGTCTGCTCGCTCCTGAAACATTGCCTCCTCTGCCACTCCTCTGCGTGTTGTCTGACATACTCTTTAATTCAATAGTGGTTGTGAAGCAGAAAGTAACAATTCTGTGTCCCTGAGTAACAATTCTGTGTCCCCGAGTAACGATTCTGTGTCCCTGAGTAACAATTCTGTGTCCCCGAGTAACAATTCTGTGTCCCCGAGTAACAATTCTGTGTCCCCGAGTAACGATTCTGTGTCCCCGAGTAACGATTCTGTGTCCCTGAGTAACGATTCTGTGTCCCTGAGTAACGATTCTGTGTAACGTAACGATTCTGTGTCCCTGAGTAACGATTCTGTGTCCCTGAGTAACGATTCTGTGTCCCTGAGTAACGATCTGTGTCCCTGAGTAACAATTCTGTGTCCCTCAGTAACGATTCTGTGTCCCCGAGTAACGATTCTGTGTCCCTGAGTAACGATTCTGTGTCCCTGAGTAACGATTCTGTGTCCCTGAGTAACGATTCTGTGTCCCTGAGTAACGATTCTGTGTCCCTGAGTATTCTGTGTCCCTGAGTAACGATTCTGTGTCCCTGAGTAACGATTCTGTGTCCCTGAGTAACGATTCTGTGTCCCTGAGTAACGATTCTGTGTCCCTGAGTAACGATTCTGTGTCCCTGAGTAACGATTCTGTGTCCCTCAGTAACGATTCTGTGTCCCTGAGTAACGATTCTGTGTCCCTGAGTAACGATTCTGTGTCCCTGAGTAACGATTCTGTGTCCCTGAGTAACGATTCTGTGTCCCTGAGTAACGATTCTGTGTCCCTGAGTAACGATTCTGTGTCCCTCAGTAACGATTCTGTGT